ATTTGTACTTTTACTTAAGTACATTTATTGAGTACTTTCTCCACCACTGATAATAACCTCATTACTGTGTAACAACCAAGACTGTCAATGTATTCAGGAACACAACGGATTCCAGTTTGCTTTTGCATCAATAGGATCCTCACTTACTTACAGGTTATCAATAAACTGCGATGCTGGACGGTTTTACCCAGATTCTTCCGTCCCAAAACCATCTAAACATGGAGCCAAATGCTTACATTTTTGCTGTCTTCCCGGTCATCTGATGCATATCATAGCATGTCTGATGGCAGAGAGTTTATGGTTCTTGAGTTGAATTATTTTTTGAGCAAACATGTCTCCTCTTAATTCTTAATGATAAAATGAAGGTTTCTAGTTAAGGGCTACCGGAGAGTTTAAAGGTCACCCAACTGCAATTTAAATAAAATTAAAATCTGATGGCAAAACATACAAATTCTTTATTTATTTATTTTGGTTTTCTGTTTCATGGTGGATTCATCTGCATTAAATGTAATCAAAATTTAAGAATCGCATACAGACCTACTGTAGCTACATTTTAAAATCTACTAAGCAAATGACACAAAAGTGTGTAAGTTTATTATTTTTTTATAGAATCGTAATAGGTTGTGATCCATTATGAGTGCAGAGATATCTTGACTGATTTATCCATGTATGTATCAATTAGGAGTTTACATGTCAACGTTATACTTTATATTATTTTAACTAATCCATTTAATCATATTCAGACTTCTGAGTACCTTACCTGAGCCACTTGCTCCAGACCTTCTTGGTTCAGGCAGCTGTACGTCATTAGCAGCCTCTGTTTGTTAAGGAGCAACAGGGAGAGATCCTTCCTTCCAAGATCTCCTTCCAGTTTCCAGAAAATCACACCACCAACCAGCACGTAGGCCACATAAATCAAACCAAGCATGAGAATGGATGGCACCCGGGCCAGATTGAACATCTCCTTCACTTCCATGTTGGCCTGGCAGTCCGACCGTTGACGTCCAGTTTTAGCTCGGAGCCTCAGCCTCTGCAGTCAGATGCAGAGAGTAGAGAGGGTTTACCTGGCGGACTCACATCACAGGCAAATGAACCTTCCCAGAGCACTACTGTTTGAATCACTTCACTGGCCTGACATGCAAATCCAGAGGAGCAAAGCAAGATAAGGGAGACACGGCAGCACGAGCAGGAATGTACAATGTCTTGGAAAAACTAAGAAATGCACATCGCTTTAAAGTTTCTCACGTTTTGTCAGCTTAGAACCAAAATCTTTAATGGGAAGTTTGAGATGTTGTGTGATAACACAGTCTCTTTCAAAATGATACCCCTTAATAAAAAATAAAAAAAAGATAGTACCATCAACTGTCCTCAGAAGTCCCCTAATAAGTAAACAGAGTCCACCAGTATGTGATTTAATCTTGGAATATATCTAGCTGTTTATTTCAGTCTCTAGCTCTGCAAAGCTGATAGCGATACACCCTAAAAACCTAAACCAGTTGGATCCAATGCACTGAAAGGTTGTTTTGAAAAGTATTGATTTGTCAGGAATGAAGACATATGGATGCGACATATTTCAGATTTTTATTTCTAATAAACCCTGCGTCCTCTTCCTTCGACTCCATCGTTGTGCAACACTTTAATGTTGGTCAAAAACATGAAAGTTTGTGATTGCAACGTGACAAATTGTGGAATTTCTATAACTTCTGTCTGCACAGCGTCTTGAATGAACGTCGGATGTGTGTATTTAGTGTTTTCAATTTTGCCTTCTGAAAAACATAAGGCGGTGTCAGGTGAGGGTCGTCCTCTCCTTTTTCCACCTCGTATCACCATCTTGATTAATGTGTTGGTTTAAGATAGCCGTCCGTGCTCAATTCTCCCGTCAGCACACAAGCACAGATGTGGACTGACATCAATAAACACACAGAAAACACACACACACACACACACACACACTATGTGACACGGTGTCATGAAATAACAGCCCAGATCTGAGCTTCCTGTTTGAACATCTAATCATACGTGTGGGAATCAGAAGAGAACAAGGAGAAGATAAACACCAATCATATAATGGAAAAAAAGAGATGATCAAGCAGGCTTTCACACTGAGGTAGAACACAATATATCACCAATATATGTATGTATTAAAACTGCTGTTGCCTCGTCTTGTATTAAGAGAGATCTTAGAGAGAGAGAGAAAAAAAAAAAACATTAAATAAAGTATTAACCTGCAGAATAATATTACTCGAAATAATTTTAAGGTCCATTGTCAGATCTTTGATGTGACTTCTAGTTTACTGGAGGAAACGTCCTCATCCTCTTCTTTGTGCTTCTTAAAACCCGGGTGAGTCAGGATAACCAGGTTCTCCATGATCCTCACTCCCATGTTGAGGATAAGCGCGAGCCAAGCAAGCGCGAAGATTATCCAAATGCCCGCAAGGCAGCGGTACAGGGAGATGTACTCCTTCCCTGGGTCGGTGCCTTTAAGCAAAAACATGTAAGAACGCGTTAAGTGAGTTTGTCTGAGTTCACAGCGCACTTTAATCTTCCAACACCTCGCTGACTTATGCAACAGGGTGAGACCTGGGAGCTTTAGGCAGACAGAGGCGACCGCTGCAGCCTTTCTAGCACATTAGTGGCTTGATTGTGGTCTCTACTCACCCACTACATAATCTCCAAAACCAATGGTGCTGAGGGTAATGAAGGCAAAGTAGAAGGCCTCTCCAAACGTCCAGCCTTCCACATAACTGAACAGAAGAGGAGGGATGACGAGAAACAGCAGGCTGCCGGTGATGAAGAACAAACTGACTGCCAGGGCTTCCACGGCTTTCTGGGAGAGAAAACAAAACCTCTTTATTTAGCCGATATATGCGACCATCAGTTATACGCCGCACTGCAGAATAAAGAGAACCATGTCGGAACCTTGTGAGGAACAACCGCCACCATTCCCGTCTCTAGTCGGCCCAGATGAATGGTCAGACACTTGCCCATTTGTTTCAGGAAAGCCAGGTTCAGAGGAATACCACAGAGTGCGTAAAACACACAAAACACCTGACCGGACACGGTGCTCGGAGAGAGGTTTCCGTAACCTGCGAACCAGACAGGTGAGACGTAATGAAGCATCATATTTTACAACAACTGGAGCTGAAAGGGTAAAACATCGATCTACCAATGGTTGTGACGACAGTGCCTGCAAAAAAGAAGGAGCTGCTGAAATCCCAGTTGCTGGGGTTGGTTGAGTTGCCTGAGGGGTTCACTCCTTTTTCCCAGGCATATAAAATCACCTGCAGACAGGGTAACATGCACATTACGACATAAATCAGCAATGACTGATAGGCTTCAACAGAAATATTCTTGCAGAGCCAAACTTAGCTTTAGTAGTGAAGCTAAAACTTAATCTTTTTTTTTTTTTTTTATCTACAATGAGTTTTACATTAATTTCTTTTGGAATAAAATAATGATTTAGCTGAACCAGGTAAAATATTTTCTCAGTTTATTCAGTTTATCCGATTTAATGTTAGATAACCCCATATTTGTCAGGGTAAATTATATCAGACTTATTGAAATATTTGTTTTTCAAACAGCAAGACTTACACAACTGAATAAACTATATACAACTATATATATATATATATATATATATATATATATAGTTTAATTAATTCAAGTTATAGGGAATAAATTAGAAATTTCATAATACTTTTTTAAAAGGTAACCAATGACTAATAATACTAAAAACAAATTATATAAAAACATAAAAACTAAATAAAACTAAACAAGTAAGAAAAGAAAAGGTAAAACATTGCCATTATTGTCAAGATGAATAAAGATAAGCCAACAGATTGGAAATTAATTAACATATTTTACTGTAATCATTTTTAAAATTAATTTTAACAGATCTTTTTATGAGGGCAACCCCATTTAAATCCTTGAATTAAATCACTTTAAGAAAACTTTTTAAGGTCACCAGGGTAATGATTTTGTCAAATGTTATAAATTACGACACACTTATTGATCTTTCAAACCAGTTACTGTAAAACCATTTATTGCGGTAAGCCTGACCTAATAATAAAATCGATTTTTCAGCTTTACAAAGCAAATGTACCAAACATTGACATAATGAATTAGTTCTATTTGTATAAGACTGAAGCCTTTGTCAACCACAAAGTGGAAAATAACTCCAAAACCATGCATTTTAACCTCTCCTAACCTAAAGAAATATTTCAGATTAATAATAATAATAATAATAATAATAATAATGTAAACCTGGACAAACTTCTCCAAGGCAGGACCATCCAAGCAGGTGTAATTAGCCAGGAAATGTAGTTTCTCCAGCTGGAAGTGGTTTCTGTTGTTGCTCTCGGCTTCTCTTTCCAGAATCTGGAAGATGACGGCCCCGATCAGCAGGTATGTGAAGTGGGCCAAAATTAAAAGTGCTGTCCAGTTCACTTTGACCCGAGCCAGGTGAAACCACGCCATTAACGTCCCCCTCCCCCACAGCACCAGTAAAAGACAAAAAATGCTGGTGCTCAAGCTCAGAAAAAAAACATAAAAGTACTTTTAAAAAAGAAGAGGAAGACTGAATTTCTATGTTAAGCAGTTCTTCTTGTGAAGTTCTCCAAATAGATGTCCTATTTCTTTAGAAAAAAGCATTCTTCTTAAAAAAAGAAATGAGGTATTTTGAAAAAAGCAGTCCTGCTTAACATCACAGTTGTTCAGGCTGATGTTGTATCTCTCTCTGAACGGCAACGTCTTCAGTCTGATTGGTCAGAGGAGCATGGGTGCTGATTTCTGGGTTACCGAGGTAACGGCCGAACTCTTTTCCTCAATTAGCGAGCGACATCTGCTCCCAAGCTTTCCCCTGTTTCCACTAATAAGGAAGCAGTGGCAGTATCTTGTCAGCAGAACAAAAGTTAATGTTTTACCTGCTTTCCATCTGACACCCTCAGATGTCGGTCTCCTACTTTGGGATCTGGAGGTCGGCGGTGCTTTAATTTTATAAATGTGAAATTAGTTATTGCAACCCTTGGTGTACGGAGTAGAAAGTAAATCTAGAGCAGTATTTATATCCTTTGATCTGATCACATTTTGTGTCAGTGCATCCAAGAATTTTAATGCATTTTATTTGATGTCTAAATAAAATACAGTCCAGCCGTCAATGGTCAGAAGCGAGGGCCGCTAAGGACTGTTGGAGAACGTTGGTGAACAGTAACACGAAGAGCAAGGAAAACAGCAGAGAGGTCAGGAATAAAGTCGTGCAGAAGTTTAATACGGGGTTAGGATGTGAAATTACTGTACAATCCATCATTTATTGACGGGTCGACCACTAGCTGTGAACTCTACAAGCAATACCATAAGCCAGTGTTTTTCAACCTTTTTTGAGCCAAGGTACACTGTTTTAATTGAAAAAATCTCGAGGCACACC